ACGAGCGTACGAGTGTACGAGCAACGTTCTAGAGCGAGCGGCTCCCGACCGGCCTCTCGCTTCGGCGAGTCCAGTTCCTTCCTTCTCCCCTTCCGCCCTCTGCCGCTCTTCGCGAACGAGGAGGGCTGGCGGGGAAGAAGGATGGTTCCGTCGCGAGGACTTCGTCCACCCGGTGTACACACCGAGAGATCGCGTTCAACGCCTTAAAAATACGGCGAGAATTCAAGGATTCAGAACGGAGAACTACGTGCGACCTGCCGATCTCCTTCGTCCTTTACGAGCGCGAAGCTGCGGCGATGAATCGCGCGATTAACTGCGTAAACTACCGGAATATAATATGGACGAAGTTGGTGGTATTTTGCCAAAATTAATGTGATAAAGGTATGCCACACAAATGAATGATTTTTTTCACGGAGATTTTTATTGTTAAAAGAAACACGCGAAGATTGCGTAATACTATTGCTGATGATTCTACGATGTTGCATTCGTCATTTCGTAATTTAGAAAGGAAAGTTCTCACGCATTAGGCGATCACGTTTATTGAATTTTCTCCAAATTTCCTTCTCGTTCGCGCGATCAACCGCGCATCGAACGAAAGAAACCGGCAGCTCGCACGTCACGAGTTCCTTTAGTCAATATCGTCGTGAAAAATGCGATTTTCAGTCACTGTAAATCGTAAGTGAGAAACACACGGAAAAATATCGCGGCGATGATGCGTCGTTTAAGGTGTTAACGCCGGCAAGAGGGCGAAAATCGAGGAGTCCATCGCGATGTGTACCATAAGTCGAGCGAAATTACGTGAAGAAAGAACAGGAGGAGAAAGAGAAAGAAGAAAAGACGAGGGGGAGGAGAAGAAGAAGGAAGAAGAAGGAAGAGGAGGAGGCGGAGAAGAGAGAGAGAGAGAGAGAGAGTAGAAGCGAGGGAAGGAGAGTCATTAATTTATTTACGATTACGTATATCCGTTAGTAGACAAAGCGTGGTTATCGAGCCCGACGCTGTTGTGGGCTTTGCGGCGTGCCATTGAACTTTCGGGCTGACACACGATCAATACACTTGTGAAGATGACGGGATCGAATTCGCGCGAGGGAGGAGGAGGAGCGACAAGGAGGGCGAGGGGATCGCCCGGTCAGGAATCTCCTCCTCGATCCGCGACGACGGATCGACGAGGATATCTGCTTCTCTTCGTCGATAGTGTCGACAGTAGTGGTAGTAATCATCGTCATCGTCGTCGTTATCGTCGTCGTCGTCGTCGGGATGATTTTTCTCTCTCTCTCTTTTTCGCGACGATCCGAACGACGAAGAGGGGTGGATTCGATCCCGGCACACATTACATACGATGTGTAACTATGTAATAGACGCATCCGCGATCGGGGGCCGCGAGGCGATTGTAAACTACTGTAAACAATGTTAACTACGTTTTACCAAGAGCTTATTGTAGCCAAGAATCATTAAACATACACACACACGCACACACATATATACACAAGATACATACAAACCCATCTATACAGATACACGCACACAGACATACGCGCGCGCGCGCGCATACACGTACACACACACACAAACACATTAAGTCGTAAAAGGAAAAAAAAACAAGAACAATGGTATTGAGTGTAGCACGAAAAAAACGTTCTTTACACTTTTGCACGAGACGTGTGTTGTAACTTAAATTAATTATCATTGACATATGTAATTAACGTTTTATTACTTAGCAATTAAACTTAATTTATTTATGATTAATCGATGATTACTCGCTTGTGTTGACGCCCTGGTTGTTGTTGCTAACCGCGGGTCGCGGCGCGAACGATCGATCGAGAGATCGTTCGGCTTGGCGATTTACGACCGAGGGCAGGTACCGCCGCGGAGGACGACCTCTCCTTCGCGGTGATGCGCCCCATCGACAGGAGTAGCTATGCACTTCGTCCGCATTTTTGTGACGATTCGCGCAAGGACGCAGGTTCCCGCTGGAAAACTCGCGACGCGAATTCTAAGGAAATGAAAAAAGAACTCGATGCAAAAATGCCAGCGAGGAAAAAAACTCTCGACGAGAGAACGAAAGAATCATCATAATCGGCGATCTGGCAGGATTTTACGCAGCGAGCGATGTATTGCAAGATACTGCCAGCTAATGATCTCGAACAAAATTTTCACCCCGTTTGTCACAATTGTATTGACCACTTGACTCGGTCGCGAAGCTTATTTTCACGTGACGATGTCTCCGTTGCTCGCGAGAATGCGGGGAAAGTGTCGGAGGAAAAAGTTGCGTCGTTTTTCCGGGGTCGCCTTAATTTTCTTGAATGGAGTCGTATAATTTTCTTGCAAATCGTCATTCCTTCGTCGTTTACTTACAAAACGTTTNGATAACCCCCCCCCCCCCCCCCCAGCAACTTCTTTCCCCGGCACTTTTTCGCGTCTTCGAAAGAAACGGAGACATTCAGGGTGCTTGGGCCAAACAGGAATTTACTACGCGACGATATTACCTCTTTTATCCCAAGTACGAGGGTTACTTCTAGTCGCTTTAAGCTAAGTCACTTTGCAAATCAAGTGGTTAAAGTCTTCGAGAGACTCAAGGAACTTCGGGAAGCAACGGAGGGGCGATTACGTTTTCTTCTAAAGTGTTAGTTCTAAAAGTCATTAATTACGAGGAAGAAAAGAAAGAAATGAGAGCATCTCGGGACAGGATAGACCGTCTTGTTGTTCAACGCACCTTTCCGACGTTGTCGTTTTCAGTTACCTTCCTGCCACGTGTCGGCCGCGTGGCGATTATTTTTGGTACACAATATACAGACTGTTTCGGGATTATATACAGACTGTTTCGGGATTATAGGTCAAGACTTAAACCGGCCGTCGGAACTCGCGAGAACAAACGTCTCCCGGCGAACGTAGATCCGTGAACGTAGGATGGCTCTCGAGGTATCCGGTTTTCTATTTTATAAGCAGCACTTTAATCTTCCAGACCCTTAAGAAGAGTTGGAAAAAAGAATTACTCTCTTCTTCCGATTTACGATAGTAACGTTGATTATCGTCACGAAGAGGGGAATCTAAACGGTGAGGAAAAGAGCGTCGCGTAATTTCCTAATGAAAAATCAACTTTCGTCTTCCGTTTCTGCGTCGATTCGTCCGCGAGTCACGGCTCTTGAAAATTTTGACAGATCAGGCATCAACGGATACACTGGCGCGCTGTGTGAACGGAGGTTAATGACCGCGTAGTCAAGAGGCCAGCTGACGCAGTCAGCGACAGTGGGGGCGATGCCACGTTACATCACGCGTTGCGTAACGCATCATGGAACTCGGCAGGCGGCTTCCGTTGATTCCGCTTCGTGTCGCGCGGAAAGAAGACGATATCCGGATCTTGCGGACTTATGAATGCATACACAGGAAAAACTTAGTCTTGAATCAAGGATATTCTCACATGTATGAGCAAAAATATTATAATCTTCTTGGAAAATCTTCAGCCTCGATTTGATTGAATTTGTATTGATGCGAGCATTATTTGAACTCAATTCAGGATTAAAAATCTTCTAAGAATATTATAGTATTCTTGCTTATATACGAGAATCTGTTCTTGATTTAAGACTGACTTTTTTCTGACACATCGAACCCCGTATGAGTCGGTGACACTTTGAACTCCCCGAAACGTCAGTCGTTCCTACGTGTATTTCTACTAAGAACTTAATTCTCGTATGAAATAAAAGGCTGGATATCTCGAGAACGATCAGCTCGCGGATCGATGACCGTTAGAGACTTGTCCGTTTGCCCTCGCGAATCCCAGCGGGAGCCAAGTCGGAGTCTTCGCCTGCAATCCCGAAACAAGCCGTGTATTCCGCATGACGCGCGACGCGCGACATTACAGCAGCGGTCGCTCTTAAATTGCGAGACGGACTACCGAGTGTCGTATAAATAAAAACCGTAGCTGACGTATAGATTTTTATATTTTCATTTAATATCAAATTAGTCTAAAAAGGCACTGAATATACATAGATATATACATATATATTATATTTGTACGGAGATCTAGTTATTAGACCAAAAGAGAGAGAGAGAGAGAGAGAAAGAGAGAATGAGTGAGAGAGAAAGGGAGAGAATGAGAGAGCGAGAGCGCGTGAATGGGGGAATGTCGACGTTGTAAAGAAAAAGAATAAAAAATTACACGGCTGATTAATCCAAGAGAGCCGCGAGAGCGAGAGAGCGAGAGAGAGAGAGAGAGAGAGAGAAAGAGAGAGGATCTGCCTGTCTGTAAATATCGACTTAATCGTTTTATAATTCGGACCATTGAGCGGGGATCCGTCTCGCACTCTCCGAACGTGTCATCGCGCTGGATTTCCTCTCGTCTCGGCGACGCTTGCTTGCGGAGATGTCGCGTTATCATTCGACAGCGTGAGTCCTCGATTCGCGCGATCGTGAGAAGCGTCGGTCCGAGTTGCGACGAGGCGCCGCGATTTTCGCTGGAACGCTGGAAACTTCGCTCGACGAGCTCCGGGAGATTCGCGTAAGCCGAATTCGCGCGCGTTCCCGATGGAAAACACGCGTCGAAAAGTAACAATTTCGCGTACACACACACACATACACATATAGACAGACACACGCTGCTCGGACGGCGATTCGGATGACGGGGATCGAAGCGAACGCTGCGCGATCGATCTCGAGGAGAGGAATCGTCACGGTTCGCGCGCTTTCGTCGCGGTAATTGTTTTAAATCGAAAGCCGCGTGCGCGTATCTATCGCGGGACGAGTGAACGAGCGAGTGAACGGCGGGTCGAAAGGTGAGAGCGAGAGCGAATGGCGCCATAGTGAACAAGAGCACACCATGAAATTGTTAAAACGTAAAGTAGAGAATAAACGAGCAATAAAATGTAACGAGAGTGACTCCAAGTACTTACTGCGAACGCGTCTGGGCACAGCCTTCGTTTCGAGGTTTCGAGGTTCGGGACAAAATGGACGTGTTACATCAGAGAGAGAGAGAGAGAGAGATAGCAGGATATATCACCGCTACCTTCTAATCTTCATCACGTATCATATGATTTATTCATTATCAAAATTATTCGCAAAACATACAAAAAACGCTCGATTTCTTTCAAACAAATATGAGTGATAAAAACGCGTCAATGAATATTTAAAAATCTCTCAGTACTTATCCTGTAAACGCAGGTATGCCAGTAATTGCCCTTCCGAGTACTAAAGCGTGAATATCGCTTGTACCTGTAAAGAGAGAGAGAGAGAGAGAGAGGGAGAGATACAGTGCTGAACGAATACGTTATCACTGAATGAAGGGGATAATCGTGGTTTTTTTTGTTAAAATTTGTTAAATTTTGATTCAGAAACCGAGACAATCCAAATAATACCTTCGTAGGTGTTCACGGTCTCCAGATTCATCATGTGCCTGATCACGTGGTACTCGTCCGAAATCCCATTTCCGCCCAGCAAGTCCCTCGCGACACGCGCGACGTCCAACGCTTTGCCGGTCGAATTTCTCTTTATTATGGAGACCATTTCCGGCGTGGCTCTGCGGCACAAAACACTCTTTAGTCTGCTCTTCAGTCACGCGCGCGTCTCACGATTCCCTCTCTATCGCGTGCTATCGAAACGATCTTTTTTCGCGATGGAATTTATGATTACACACGATGCGGTATTTTCTCAGAGCTGCACCGATCGAAATATGATTTTACTTATTTGTTTAATTTTAATTGGACGAAAACTTGATCAGAATTATGACAAAATTCCCGTCGTATCCCTTTCACGTTGGAATATCGGCACTCTAACATTTTCCACGACTCACGACGGTAATTTGAACGATAGACATCTCGAGTGACTCGGAGTTGACTTTCTCCGCGGCGATTCGATCTCGAACGAATGTTTTACCTGCCCTCGTCCTTCAGTCTACCGACGCGCAGGCAGGCTTGGAGACCGAACGCGATGTCGCACATCATGTCCGCGAGTTTCTTCTGCACGAGTTGATTCGCAGCCAACGGCCTCTTGAATTGTTTCCTCTCCAAAGTGTACGATCGCGCGATCTTGAAGCAGGTCTCCGCCGAGCCCAACGCGCCCCAGGCGATGCCGTATCGAGCGTTGTTCAAACAACTGAACGGTCCCTTCGGCAAGTCTCTTATCAGTTACTTTTTTCTCGGGCTATAGAAAGTTATGTAGCACACGGCCGTCCGATGTAACTTTTTGTGAGCAAATATTGCTTCTGTCAACGCGCTTATGCAAATTTCAACGGGCGAGAATAAAAACACGGACGATGGGCGATAAACGCGTAATTAAGTGATAAACGAGAAACAGGAGACGTATGTTAAGCGGGGCGAAACTCGTCGGGAAACTCTTGGCTTACTTTAAGTCCTTGGACGTTCAGCACATTTTCCTCGGGCACGATCACGTTGTCCATCAAGATCATTCCGGTGATGGACGTTCGCAGAGAGAACTTGCCCTTGATTTTTGGAGTGGACAATTGATCACACGCGGTTTCCCTATCGACGATGAAGCCGCGAATCTGATCGTCGTCACACTTAGCCCATATCACCAGCACATCGGCGATAGGCGAGTTTGAGATCCTAAACGAGACTCGATGAGACTGTTTTCCCCTATTCGATCGCGAGGAAATATTCCGACGACTCTCGAAAAACATTGTCTGTAACTAACCATGTCTTATTGCCGTTCAGCTTGTAAACCTTTTTGTCAGAATCGTAAACGGCTCTCGTCTCCATGGATCCTGGGTCGCTACCGTGGTTAGGTTCCGTCAAGCCGAAACAACCGATTACCTCTCCGGAGACTGAAATACGCTCGAAAAATTATCGTCCCCACAATTATTAAGCACTTCGTTAATTACTTTTTCCCTTTTGCGATCCTTTTTGCGTTGTCGCCAAAGGTCATTCCCGTCGACAAAGAAACGAATATTTGATAAATAAAACTCGAGAAATTTATTTCGAGATGGGAAATTATTATATTAATATTCTTCGTATTTCTCATTTCTATCGTCCTCTCTGTCTTTCTCTCGAAGTTAACAATTAAATATATTCCTCTACGCGGGACTCCGAAACCTAAATTATCTTTCCATGATTCAAGAATGAAGAATACGAGTTCAATAGACATTCTCTCACGTACTCAGTTTAGGCAAGTATCGCTCCTTCTGAGCTTCGCTGCCGAACATGTAAATCGAGCCGATGACGAGGGAGGATTGCACCGAGAAGGCCGATCGAAACCCGCTGTCGACGCTCTCGACCTCCTTGGCGAGCAGGCCGCAGGCCACCGAGGACACCTGAGTACCGCCGTAACCCTTCACACTGCAGCCCAGGACCCCGAGTTGACCCATCTCCCGCATGACCGCCTTGTCAAAGTGCTCATTGCGATTCGCTTCAATCACGCGCGGCAGGAGTCGCTCCTGACAGTACGAACGGAACTGATCCCTAACCAGGACCTCGTCCTGCGTCAGCTGCGACTCCAGATTGAACGGATCCTCCCAGTTGAAGGTGGCTGAATCGCAATTCGTATGAATTAAAAAGGAAGATGTCTAAATCCAGTTTCCAGGTTGGATTTGACAAGGTATGTTTTAATAAAAAATGTATATATATATATATATATATAAAATAAAATTATGACGAAAATTATGATAAAAAGAGTTTATGAGTTTCTCTTTAATATTCCCGCATTTTATAAAGAAAAATAATTTTATCTTGTCTTCATCTTATTTATTAAAATTTTAATGGGATTTACACCCAAAGGACCTCTATTCTAATAAAAGATACGCTGTGTTATTTATCTTGTGAGAAAGCTACTATATTGAATATAGTATTATATTGAAGAGATACACTCGACGAATTTAGAATTATTACGTCTCTCGATAATATATCAGTTACGTGCTTTTATCATTTATCAACAGTGATGCGGCGAAATTACAAAGTCGACAGTGCTACAAATAACGAGCTATCGGCCGAGTCGAGATACCGTCTGCATTGTGCTGCCATCTACATACTAGAAGACGTGCCCGTATGGATCATCGCTGGTATAGATCATCAGTATAGATCATCTCCGAATGAAATTAAAATCTATGTCTTATCTGTCTACGGCTCACACAAACACAATGGAAATGCGAAATAAATCGAGAAGAAAGAGTGAGCGACTTACGTTTGCCTTGAAGAGACGCAGAGACGGAGATCCCTGATAACAGTTCGATCGTTAAGGATGGTATTACGAATTATCGTCGAATCATGCTTCAACGATTAAACGGAGTTGATCGGTCTCCCCATTCTCAATCGATTTCCAAAGGATACATCTCGCCGAATTAACGCGACACAAACCACCCGTTCTCGACAGCAGTTTTCGCATGTGACACGCCATTTTCAGCTACGACTGATAGAACACTGACTTGTTTACTCCTTGAGAACCCTCTTATCAATCGTAATTAAAGTTGCATTTTCACTGAACGACAGAAATTTGATAAACGTTTCATGAATGAGCTAATATTTCGTCGCATATTTCTAGGACGCTTTGCGATGAGTATTCCTCGACTCTGCTACTTTCGGCAACAGCAATGAAACAGCTGTTGCTGAAAATGCTGGCGCGACGTTTCCTGCATTGACCGGTCGAGTCAGCCTTTCATTGGCTAGAAAAGCGGAGGCAAATTTGAATAGACTACCTTGACGAAAAGATAAAATCAATTATAATTATAGAATTTTTCGGAATTGAAGAGGCAAGAGTTGCGGTTTTCCGATTCTTAACGTCGCCTTTCTCTCTATCCGAGTATCGAATTAAAATTCTGTTAAAGTTTACTTGAAATTTGATAAAAAATGTAACTCTATCATCAATTTCCTATAAAGCACACATTTCTTTATCACGTATAATCGTATAAAAAATTAGTTATCGACTGATTTTCTGGATGGAAATGTTCTGGATAGTGGTTTCTTAATTTGAAGTCCGCGACCTCAAATTTTCGAATGTAAAAATTTTAGACACATAACGTCGTTTAAGTTCTACGCTTTATTTGCAAAAGTTTTAGAATGTACGTATGTACAATTCTTATGTCTTAATTACTTTTATTGTGAAAATTAACCATAAATTCTTACCTATGACGCTCGAGATCGAGGATTTCGGGACTAGAGATCATCGAGATAGTAAAACCTTTGTAAAGAATTAGAATGGTAATGATAAAGATTTCACAACTTAAACATAGAATATTGAAAATACGACGGCTCTGTTATTTTACATCGCCTCGATATATTTATTGTTTAACATTAATTCTACGCGCAATCGTACGCAGACTGTTTTGTCTCATATCAGTCTAATGTTTTTCGTCTCCCACGCGATTCTCCGTGAGGCACGTATAAATCTCTCGCTAATGATAAAAACTTTATTGAATCACGTTAGAATTTTAGATTAATTTTTCGGGACGGATTCCGTACTACTATTAATGTTACTATTATCATTAAAACTACTCGATTCTAACTCCTCGCCTTCGTATATTTATCGTCTCGTCTGTGAAGCCCGCTTTAAATAAAACCGTGTGACTCGCGACGGAATCTTACGACGTGTACTTTCACGCGTAACGTGGACGAGTTACTTGTTCGGATACTTATAGATTTACGCGTACACATATATATACGTTCGTGTCTATAAATGTAGTTTCGATTCTTCGAAAGTTTCTCCCCCCCGGGAAATAGGATCCCCCGGCGCTGCATCCCGTCGCGGAATTATAGATTTTCTAAAGTGGACTCGAACCAGCCGGCCAAGTAACTGGACTAGTTCTAGACTCGTTTCTGAGCTGCAGCGAAAGAGGACAACAAAAAAACCCGGCTCGCGTGAAATATTGACTAACGCGCGCTCCTTAACTCCCCGGATCTGCAGTTATTCCGAGACATGCGCAAGAGTTAAAATAATTATTATTACGCTACTACCGAGGCCTTGCACGTTAGACCTTTACACATACTAATACCTAAACAGGCCTCGTGCGCGAACGTATCGCGGATAATTCAACGGAATTTCTTGACGCCGTTATCACGCGGAACAGGCATGAATTAAAGCCTGCGCCATGCGCGTTGGGAGTTATGTAACTTAGACTACAAAAATATACCTCCCCGCCGGTTGTGTACGTGCGAGATGCACTCGCGATATTATCTCGCCTAGCGTACACCCACGGCCAATTAACATTTCGATATATGTGTGTGTTATTAAAATACGATATACAAATTATCGTTACGTTCTTCTTACGGGAAAACATGTAAATGTCCCTCACCGATTGTGACACGGGCTTTGGTATGCGCTAGAACAGCTGAAAATAGGAAATACGTATTTTGTTCTATTTACTTTCTCACATGTTTTCGAGGGGTTGAAACAACCCCTCGAAGATAATTTGGTAAAATCGATCGCGAGAAAGCGCATACGAAGGGCTACGTGTCCTCTCTTGTTTCTACTTGCTTTACAACATACCCAAAACCCGAAAATAAAAATCGGAGAGACATACTTCTACATGTTTTCTCGTTCATATATTACATCCCATAGCTGAACCACTAAGGTTAGTGAAAAAACAATAATTGGAAATAAGTACGGAGTGTAAATAAAAAGAACATTTCCGATATAAAAAGCAGGTTACAAAAATCAGTTTTGCAACAAATTGTTATGGACAAATTATTAGTAAAATTTTGACTATAGAAGAATACTGATTCAGCCAATAGATTCTACGAGGAAAGTAACAAGAAAAACACGATAACTTTTCTCATATAGCTCTCTCATATGATATCACGGATTATTAAAACTTTGCAGAATTGATTTCTCCAATGTGCTTTTTGTGTCAGAAACGTTGCCTCACGGTCCTACTTCAACTTATTATTTCTTATCTGACCTTACTGCTAGCCACGTAGGCTTCAATGGGTTAATATCTAATATTGATTTCCTCACTTATCATTAATAACCGTATTCGCACTCGGACGTGACGAATCGCGGGCGTCTTCGTCCGTAGCTCGGCGATATTTTCTCTCGCAAATAAGTCAGATTATTGATAACGCAGCGATATCGTTACACATTTACGCGTCTCACTTTACCTACCCGACATATATTCCCGTCACCCGTTTGAAAAGACACGGAACTTCATCGGGGAGATTGCAACGTGCCGCGCGCGAACGTCCTCCTTCTCCATAATTACAATTAATATATCCTTTCATAAACTAAGTAGTTTATCTAGGCGCCGCGATATCGCGTGCTTGCGTTCACCGAGGGACGGAAAAAGAGACGGAACTCGGACGAAGAAGAAGTCACGATCGATCGAGCATCTTGAGCGTTACACGACCAGCAGGTCCTCCTTCTGGTAAGGACCGTCCGGCAGTTTCTGATTGAATATGCGGATATTGTGGCAGAGGTAACCCATTGCCTCCATGACCGGCCGGATGATCGCTTGCGTCACCGCCGCCAGAAAATTTCGCATCGCCGCGCACGTGATCTTCCACACGCGCAGACATGGCGCGACGCACCATATATGCTGCAAAGAACAATCAGGCCGGACGAATGAGACTATTTGTCAACGCGAACCGGTGCATGGAAAAGTGCGCCCCTTTTTACTTGCGGTTTTATTCATCTATTCGTGCATTTATATTATATTTATTATTTATTTACATTTGTTTACTCATTCACTCATCTATCTGTTTATTGAGGAGGGCAATGATTTCGGTAGCAAATACGCAAATATCACACCGAATGACTGAAAAAGGAGAATTCCAAATTCTTTTTGGAAGAAGAAGCAAAGAAAAAGAGTGAAATGTACACGGTAACAGTTGTGTTAAAATCGGTCCTTGTTGAAATTTTCGTGTTGAATTTTTAACATACCCGTGTGTTAATTTAACGTGTGTTTACGAGGGCGGTCCAATAAGTACTTAGCCTACAAAAGAAAAACGAAAATTTTGGAAAAGTGGCGATTTATTTCTCAACATAGTCTCCTTTTAGCTCGATACACTTGACCCAGCGATGCTCCAACTTCTTTAACCCACCTGAAAAATACGTTTTCACGAAGTCTGCAAAGGCCTCCGCGGCGGCGTTGACCTCCTCATTCGACTCAAATTTCTGCCCGGCGAGTGACTTTTTCAAGTTTGGAAACAAAAAAAAGTCGCACGGGGCCAAATCTGGAGAATACGGTGGATGGGGCAGCAGTTCGTAGTCCAATTCGACCAATTTGGCCGAATGAGGAGGTCATCGCCGCCACTGAGGCCTACTTTGCAGACTTCGAGAAAACGTATTTTTCAGATGAGTTAAAGAAGTTGGAGCATCGCTGGGTCAAGTGTATCGAGCTAAAAGGAGAAATAAATCGCCACGTTTCCAAAATTTTCGTTTTTCTTTTGTAGGCTAAGTACTATATCGGACTGCCCTCGTATGTTATCTCAACATTTTGTCTTGTGTCGATATTCAACGTGTTTAAGTGTAAAATAATACATTTTCTACGATTAATATATTAATGTATTAATTTTGGATTAATTTTGGACATAACGTTTGTGTTACTTTTCAACATATTCACCTTGTGTTAAATTAACATAAAAGTTTGAGCAGACCGTTTGGGACATGTGAAACGTGTTGGGTTTAACAAATTTACATCAAACATTTAAACTTAACAAAACTTTTTTTACTGTGTAGTCATCGCTTTGATCACGAAATTTCCCGTTAAGAGCAAAATTAAAATCATAAATGCGCAGTCTTCCGTCAGGATGCAGATCGGTCCCCCGTCAGGATACAAATAATTAAATCCGCGAGATATCAAACATGGCTGTTATATGTTCACTCGTGTTACATTGAAATATCAAATTCACGCGGCGGCGGCGCGGTCATCAAACATTCAATTCGATCGCGAAATCCTGCAACTCCCCGATTGTAACTTTATTCCATTCGGAAACGATATGGGCTCGTTATAGACCGCGGGTGGACACCTGACATCGATCGGGGACGCGCGACAGGAACCGGGGGAGGAAGGGGGTTATCGACTCACCTGAAACGCGAGACAGGCGAACGTGAAACCCAAACAAAGGGCGAGCAGAGGCGCCACGAGGACGGAGAGGAGCACGTAACAGCATCCTCTGGAGAGCCGGAAGCAATGGCCGCTGAGCCGCCAGGCGCACTCGGGGCTGCGGATGCCTTCCGGTTCGCCGATCACATCGTCCCACATCACCTGCGTGCGTACGACGTTCGCGATACATCGTCGCGTAACAGTGATTATAATAATAATACGCGCGACGTTGGGAAATCGCGCTCGCCCGTGTTAATCGATCGATGTGTGCACGGTGCGTGCGAATTATCGAAACGAGGATCGTCCGAGTGAGTGAAAGACGGCCGCTTTCGTCACACGTGGCACAGGATGGAGAGGGAAAAAAAGCAATGAGTAACACGCAAGTCAGTCTAAAGACCCATTATTCTCTGTCCGCTGATCATCGATCCTTGATTATTTTCGAGGAAATGTGGGTTACGACTAATGTAAGCCTAGCCAGGCAAACTTTTCCTCGATGATCGTGCGCGATAGCCAAAGACAGCTAAAAAAACGAAAAGGATCTTGGAGGTTCTTCGAGCGAAGGAAAATTCAAAAGCAAAACCGAAAGCTCGTCTCTGGCGAGGTGCGACGATTAGAGATACGGTGTTAACATGAGATCGATATTATCGATACTAACATTGAAACGGGTATTTAATCAAGAGTATCGATATAATTAGCGATACCAGTATCAGAATAAAAATATCGATACCGATGCTGATATCGAAATTTAAAGAAACTTAAAAATCAGGGAAGTGTTTGCTTGCACCTGCTTTTAAGGGTTTCGTACGTATAATAATCTTGTCATAAGGTTCTTTTACCTTCTGCATTAAGTTTTCTAGGGTTTGTGATCTGAAAACTTGAAAAAGAATGTGTTAAGACTCCTACATCCTCGCTATGACCGTCTTTGTTTGATGACGTCAGAAGCGAGAAATCGCGTTCCAAAAATTATTGCGATATACGTGGAAATAAAACAATGTACGCACAAAATGACACTCGTGATCGACCCCGCACACTAATAAAAATGTCCGTACGCTTTTCTTCTACTTCAACGACCAATAAATAACTGTAAAGTTAACGCGACAGAAATCACGAAAAAAGATTAGTTTAAAACGTAAGTTGCATGTAACATTGATTTTCATGAAGCAAGAATACATGATATCTTAAAAATCGACTGAGTAACACACTAAAAAAGAAAGATATCGAAGCAAAGTAATAAATAATACACGAACATCGAAAAAAATATCGATATAAAAGTACGCAATATTGAAAGGAAAATATTGATACCAGTATTGTATCAGTAGTATCACAACATTCCTAGCGGTGATTCGACTACGTGATGAAGATGCAGGTCGCGATGGGGCTTGGGATTCGACAGTAGAATCAGTATCCGCCGATTGTGATCGCAAACGCACGATCACGATTGCGAAATTTGCACTACATAGACTGATGTTGATTTTGGCCGTGCCAAAGGGCTGAAGGGTGTGTTGTGCGATCCGGGAACGTAAACATGAGACCGCGAACGGAAGGGGAGGATTGCGTAATTACCGAGAGCGAAACACATGACTGGAAAAGTTCCGAAGCAGCTCGTGTTTCTGCGGTCATTAAAATGCTCCCGCCATTGTTAGCAATGCAAATCTTACGATCTTGTTTTCCTCCCTCTAATTGACTTTTCATATCGAATCGCGGTAAAAGAAAGGCCTTTTTCTTCTTTTCTGAAACTTCAAACTAAAGGCAAGAAGAAAAATGTGCCATTCGCTCTCGTTGACAGGAGAAATCAGATATTATCAGTGAAAAATTGTCGACGCGTTTCCTCACAACGATAAGCGCGAATCGCCGTGGTGCATTGTGTCTATTCTACGTAGATAATTGGCATCGCTTCGCGAACGGATTATTCACGAAGATATTGATTCTATTTATTCGTGAAATCTATTACACGCGTCTACGTGCGCTCACGTGCGGTTAGGCCTACGGGGTGAAACGTGGGAAAAAAAGAATTAGCTTCCAGAGGTAAAAATTAACTGTCTACACGACACGACTGAAATTTCATTAATATAGCTAATTTTTTCTCTCTGTTCCTAATTTTCAGCTCCCCCCCCCCCTCAACTAAATCTCTGATAACTAAATTCCAGTTGTATCATACGAACGCTGCTATTTGGAGCTGATTTCTTTTTTCCGTGCGTTCCAACCAACTTTTCTAATCCTGACTTCGAACGACGGAGTCCCATCTGCGCCTCACTTGCCGTACCTGAAGGTGTTGGTTCAGGCTGTTGGGATCCCGGTCCTCCAACTCGGCGCCGCTTTCGCCCTCTGCGGAGGACTCCGGCTTCTCCATCCCTGGAATACGAAGAGTCGGGCACTTGGGCACGCCGCAGCGGAAGCTGTTCCTGAATCTCGCCAGCATAGTTCCCGCTGCTGCTGTTATATATATCTCTCTCTATCTCTCTCGGTCTCTCTCCCTCTCTCTCTCTCTCTCTCCGTCTACTCTCTCGCCTCGGACGGATCAACGTACGCGAACGGGACGTTCACGAGCCGCCGATTCGCGGCGGCAGACGAGCGTTTCCTGCCTCGCGGCGCGGCACCATCGCGAAAATGACGACTATCGCGAGCCGCGGGGACGTAAGCCGGCACACATATCCATAAGCCATCGATTATCTTCGTTAAATAATAAATCGCGCACTACCCTTCTCCGGTGCGCGAGCGAGCGAGCGAAGAACGACAATCGTTGGCCTCGTCGAGAGAAAGAGAGAGAAGGACGAGGCCGATCAAACGAAGGTGGTGGTGTTACTTAAGTTCTCACGACGCGCTGACCACCGGCCGATCGCGCGACCGTGGTCGAACAGGGGGTAGAATTCGCCTCCGGTTCCTTCGTTCTCTCCCTCCCTCCCTCTCTCTCTCTCTCTCTCTCTCTCTCGTCCCTTCTCTTTTTTTCCTTCTCCGGCTCGTACTACGGCTTGTATTTACGTGTGCCGCAAACCGCTCGGTATAATCGCGGTATCGATTCGGCGAGACGCAACCGAGCTAAACTTTATTCTTCGCCTTGACTCCAACTGTTGCACCAGACTATAGAGCCGAGCCTGATTGTACACGAGGTCGCAGATCTTTTTAGATTCCCGTCGACGTCGTCGGCGGCACGTGGCGCGTCCTTTCGCCTCAGGACCTCTAAGTCGCGCGTACGCGGCGCGTTCCGCGGCAAAATCGATTTTCGACGCGTACGGTATATCCTGCCTTCTCAAGGACGGCTGTTTTTCTCAAACGCGACGGGTGGCGGGCGGCGGGAGGGGTACTTACAGCGTGAGGTACTCGCGGCCCGCGAACCTAGGCAAATTAGAAACGATCTTTTCGAATTTCCGTCACAGAAGTATCAAACAGAGTTAAGGACAATTGTTAGCATAAGGTAAAATTGTGAACACTCAGTCGATGCAATTGACGAGACACGTGTCCTTTGAAGCGCCTACGAACAACTCGAAGATCCGTATTAATAACTGTCACTTGGAACTCGCTTCATATGAGATACTCAGATTTGAATTCAAAGCTAGATCTGAGTTTTCCAGTCGAATCGTACGATTCGTATTTGACATTACATCTGTAAAAGCTGTTCAATTAAAAACTCATATCTAAGGATACGCACGGCACAAACGAAAACGCAAGCAGTAACAGTGCTTCAGCAGTAAGAAAATTGACCAATTCACCGGCGACTTCTTACGGTCGAAGAATAATTGACTGTGATTGTGGTCAATTTTCTTACTGTTTCTTACATTTGCGTTTTTCTGTGTCCCATTCCTTAACTCGGGAATAGTCACCTGGGGTCATTTAAATTTCAATTAAAAGTCACTGTTACCAACAAAATATAGCATATTATCGATTGCTTCATGATTTATTATTATTTAGGAACATTACAAACATAAATTCACTTGCTACTTTTTTTGAAAAAAATGAGGGAAAACCAAAAAAACCTAAGAAACGGAATAAGCACATCCAGTGTTCGTGACTGTTGTGTGTACTTACGTAAAAAAAAAAAAAAGAAAAAAGGCGATTATTCCCGGGTTAAGAAAAAGTACTGATTAAGTGTATCGGTAACTGATAAATGATCAAATTAATTCATGATATTCTGCCAGTTGCACTGACGCAAACTTATCCAACATCATCATTATTGATTGAAATTAATTGAAACATTCATCAGTTACTCTGACGCAGCTAATCAGTACTTTTCCTTAAGGGATGGCCCAAATTCTGAACTCAAATCTGAGCGTCTCATCCGAAACAAGTTTCAAGTAACAACCATTAACACTTTCACAACCGCTGACACCAATGTGGTGTCATGGGCAGGCCAGTCGTTGTATGCCGGTGACACTCATGTGGTGTCATTGGTAGGCCAGTCGTTATTTGCCGGTGACACTCACGTGGTACCATTGATAGGCCAGTCGCTATTTGCCGGTGATTTCCACGTGGTACCAGTGGCAAGCCACTTGCAAAACTTTTCTTAGCACGTCATAATAATGTTAATTGTTTCATGAATTTAGGTAAAGTTTTTTCTTCCAAAATATTGCAGGCCACTGGCGACGTTTCACTGCGCTAACATGCGGTTGTGAAAGTGTTAATACGGGCCCTTTAGACTTCTACGTGTACAAGCTGACGAAATAAGTCCCGGGGGACAGAAATATGAAGGTATATCTACCTTCTAAGGTACAGAAATATTTTCCTCGTTTCACGATCGAGCGTCCGGCGTGCATTAATTTCTAGAGCGTGACTCTGAGGGAACGAGGGAAACGAGCCGCGCATTGTGTCTCCCGCGCTCCTTCGAGACGAGGGGAAGAGACCGTCACGCGCGTTTGCCTTCCGATAAGGGTGGAAATTTCTTACGCGGCGGACCGGCAAAGGGTTGAGTAAGTATATATTAAGGGGTATAGAAGCAAGACGGCGGCTCGTGAGAGCGGAATCGAATTCTACGCAGGAAAGAAATCGCGCGGTACACATAAACACACACACACATACACGCGCGCGAGTGTGTGGCGACTTTGCCCTACTTCTTGCTTGGAGAAGCTTAGATCCTATCCGTCCCCGTAAAAACCCGACGCCGCAGGCTTCATGACGTTTCGCGCGACTATCGACTATTCGCGGGAATTTACATGCGTGTATGTGTGTGTGTGTGTGCGGGACCCCACGGTTGACCGTCTTCCGCGAAGCCGGTGTGTGCAAACTATTTCCGGTACAAACTATAAGCGGTGGACGCTCGTAAAAAGAAATGGCGCGACGCGAACCTCGCCAAGGGCCGGCGGAAAGTACGAGTGCGATACGCAGTTTGACGGCCGCGATTAATAATTCAACGACGGTTTTGCACGACGCGCAACTATGTGTCCAACAGAGAGCTCAAAGTGGAGCCTCCCGCGATCGAATTACCTCCATTCCCGGCGTTATTAATATTTCACTCGACTCTATTCCTCGCAGCGCGCGGTCGCGCTTCAATCATTGCCGACGTGTTACGAGAAGAAAAAAAATATCGCGACTGTTTACGCGCTGCCGGCGGACATGTTCGTTCGCCGACCATCTCGAGCGTCTCCGGGCGAGGGTGGGCGCTCTCGCGCGAGGGGGGTGCCTCGAACGCGAAGACGAAACGCGAAAGTCGAAGCGGACGGAGCGGCTTCGGCTTCCGACAATCGACTCGTCGACGGCAATACTCACTCGGTTCGCCGTTCGCCACCCTGGAGCCCCTTATTTTGCCAGTTGCTGCGGACACGACGCGACAGAAGCCTCCGCCAATTCCTTATTGCGCTCGCGTCGCTTTACTTCGCGGGAGTATTCGTAGTATACTTAGGTACAACGCGATCCAGGTCTAAGGGAGGGTGGGGGAATCTAATCCACGGATTCTAACGCGAAGAGAAGTGGACAGCGGTCAGCGCGGCTGCGCACTGGGAGCCCCGGGGGGTTTCAACCTCGTCGCGCTTCCCGGGGTGCAACCACCCCGGAAAACGAAAGTGAACGGCCCGCCGGCGGAGCGACGTAACACCCACCCCCTCTCCCCGTCGTCGTCGGTTTTCCCGCGGGAGACCGTCTCCCGACGGTAATCCCGACGAAAATGCGACGGCAATCGCGATATCGAGGGGAAGAAATTACTCGCAAGGGGGTGCTGGGGTGAAATCTCTCGCGGACTGTTAATTAATCGTTACCATTGTTATCATTGATTAATCAACTATGTCGAATGCCACCCCCTTTTGACCGATAATTGGACGTCGGGTCGGACACGTCACGAATGCGACATAAATGAGTGACAATTAGTTCATTTGTTAAGAATTTAAATTATAGATGGACGCTGCTTGATATATTCATCGCATTCATTAAAAAGCAGTCTACACCGGCAGTATCTAAGTAGTCTACCCTATTCGTTGATGATCAATGCGATTTATTTATATGTTTACGCATGTATAGTAATACACTTTGTTGAAGCACTTATCAATTCGAGGTCCAACGATGTCCAGTAGCCGAGTTCACCGTCGCTGCGCTCCGGCAGTCCAGCCCGCGTTGATTGCACTAATTTCATTCGCAACGCGATTGATGCACATATTCATATTCTTTGCTAATAGGAGATAAACCCTTTGGTATATCGTAATAAAGAAAATAAAATCAAAGAAGAAAAGGAGAAAATGAGAAAAAGTGTAAAGAAACTTCAATCGATCGATAATAAAATCAGATCAAATCAAGTTGACATGAAGATGTTTAACGAACATTAAGAACTCGGAGAAAAATATTTGACCCTTTTACTTTCTCCACAAATATTCACGAATAATAGAGCGATCTCCGTAGTTGTTCCGAGCAATGCGCTTCGTTTCGACAACACGTCCACACATATGCAAAAGCCGACATGCAATTCTACGAGTGAAGTATCAATAAACCGCATTGATTCCAACGAGACATCGCTACTAAACAAACCTACCGCTTGAAATCTTTCGTCATGCACTTTTTCTTACTCACCGTACGCCTCGAAGTCGGGGTCGGCCACGCTATCTGCAACAGAAAATGTAGTTTCGCCATTTAGATTTGGTTAGACTCGATTTAACGAACGAGTGCGCGAACGAGCGATACGAATCGATTAGCTGTTCACGATTGAGATACAAATGGCTTTAATGACCACATCTCGGCTTTCGAGCGCGAACGGTTAAGCGGAGAAGTGTAACGAGCACATCAACGTACCTTCCAGCCGACCCCGCTCAGCCCGAACCGGATCCTCCGGTACAGCATTCTATATCTGTCAGATCTGAAACAAAAAATAATTTTCTTCTTTAGTTAAGACGGTAGAGAAATTATTCACCGTATAGACGGGTGAAAGATGCTACTTAAGAGTATTTCAATTCTAATCCAACATGAAAAGGAACGTGCGTTAGCCATCCTTTGAATATCACGTTGTCT